TCCATGAACTTGTTGTAAAAAAAAAAGTAGGTACGGGAAATAATAATCTCCGGGTTATTATTAACCTGCTTTCAATCGCATGCAAGATGATTTCTACGAACTGTCAGCGCTGATTGTTAATAAACTCTAGAATTGTCAAGGGATTGCCAAAGACGAAACTCCGAGATGGCGTATAAACAGCAACCGGTCCAGGATGAATTGGAGATGGAGACAATGGCGGAGGCCGAGCTTTCGAGGCTGAAAAGACAATATAGGATAATGGAGAACGATCGGGCGATGTGTGCGGAAGACGCGAGGTTGCAACTCCGCAATCAGCAGAACGCGATCAATCGTCTGGAATACGAGAAAGCCGAACTCGTACTGGCAATTAAGACCGCGCGATCGAAAGCATTCACGCGTAAGGATGTGGAAATGGTCGGGAAGCTGAAGTGTCTGCTGACGAAGCGTGCCAAGTATATTGAGCTGATAGAGAACGAGAAACGGCAGATAGCCGAGCTTGATGAGCAGATCGGCAAGGTTGCTGGTATTGCCAATATCGAGTCTATATAGACCTATGTATAAGAGCAAATACACGAGTAATCTGATTAAAATTAGAAGTCTTATTGGTCAGAATACTAATAATTCCGGAATGCTATCGACATTAAGTAATATAATACAATATTGCTATTGATACTTATGTATCATACAATTGATACATAAATTTTACTTACGAGGAAATAGACCATTTTTAATTAATGTAACACAAAATTTTCATACATCTCGCATTTTTGTGCCAGTTTCCACTAATGTAGATTAATTTTAATCTGGTGGTCTAATTTACTTTTTATCCTTTTATAATTCTTAAACAGGCATTAATGATAAAATATTTATAATCTAAACTTTTATAAACACAAATAATCACAACTATTAATTTAATAGGAAAGAATGAATAAGCACACTATCAAATTTAATCTTGGTATAATATGAAATGTATAATACAATGTCTCCAAAACACTTGCTAATAAAATATATAATAACACAAAACTGCTTAAAAATTAATATTACTTATCACTTTCTGTTACAATACTAGGTTTAAACTGATATATAATGGACTAATTTTAAATTTTTTAAAGTTTGTCCCCGCTTATCTCAGTTTTTAGCAAGGCAAATTGGACCTCCTGATAATCACTAAAGACACAACTTAGCGCTTAATGCGCGTAAAATTTACATGTGATAGCATTCTAGGGATAAATATAAGAAAAATAAGAATGTTTGATGCAAGGACTGCAAACAATGCTTTGCGGTATCGCGACCATAGTAATCGGTAACGAATGAAAGTGCGATTTGTTATGAGAGATCGGATTGTCTCTCTAAGATGAAGAGAAATATCACTTTCATCCCGCGACATCACGTTTACGACATGTAAGAATGTTGTTGCAGCTTTCGAAGGATGTCACAAGCATGAAGATGAAAGTGCGCACCGACATGCAATCGCGGGAGATAGCAGCGCAGCATACTAAGACGATACTCATGCTGGAAAATCGGGTGGAGGTAGCCACCAAGAGGTTCAACTTGGTGATAGCGGAGAATACGAAGCTGCGCGCAGAGATTGAAACCTTACTGAAGGAACGGGCGCAGTTCATGCAGGTGTGGAACAAGCTGATCGGCCAATTGAACACTGGTAAGCAGATCATCAACGACTTGATCGAGCAGGCGACGGTCACGTTCAATCAGCGAGACGAGGAGCTCAACAAGATCCAAGCGCTTCGCGAGAGGTAGGATGCGACGCGGATTTTCCGCGTCGTTGATTGGTGCCACATCGTGAAACTCGATCTGCGCAAGCTAAAATGTTAGTGATTTATACAACATCGCTGTTGCCAATCAATAACCACTTATAAAGTCGCGAAAGTGGAAACCTTCGCCAGATCCCCAGTTGTCCCCATAATTCAAATGGTTTTATTACTAACAACGTGAAATCTCAGATATTCGCATTCTTAATGAATGCCTGATATAGTCTGATATCTGATGCAAATAAAAAGCCTATTTGATCTTCCGCGGCTGTACGTAAAGTATAATTTTATAAAGCGATAAGATACAATTTGCAAGCACTAACACGGAGGCTCACATAGACATTTTATGTGAATTGGATTTATTCTTGGAGTCACAATTATTATTATTAACTTACTTTAGCCTGATGTCGTCGTTGTCTTTGAATTAGAAACTCGGAGAGCAACGATCGGTGGAGCCAATGGCGCATGGAATTTCCGCCGCTTGCGCTTTCCGTCCGATGCCATAACGGCTCCTTGAATTTATTTAGTCGCAAATTTTCGTAATTTTCTGCCGAGCTAAGAGAAAAATTCCTATCAACGTAAACTGACCATGAACTAACGAGAAGGCGTCTGTTTGCAGAGGAATAAGAGACTTGAAGAATCACACATTGGAGATGTGCGAACTGAAGAGAACTCTGGACAACGAGATGAAGCTGCAGGAGTTTCTTGGTGTGAAAGGACAGTTCCGCGAGATGGTCGATCTGAATGCGAAGAAGGAAGCCGAGAGACAAGCTAAACGGGAAGAGAAACAGAACAAAATAGCGGCCTTCACGCAAATCTTGCAGACGATCAAGCAATTCACTGGTACCGTAAACCGACTCTTGCTTACAATTAGAATAATCGGGCAATCTGATTTTCAAGAATGCGTTCTCTTTGTAAAGTGTTCTCGGATTTTCTCACGGAACTCTTAAACTTGCCCCAGTTTTCTAAGTGTCTTACAATTGAAGACGTAGGTATATGTCAATCTGGTGTTGCTAATTGTAAAGTGAAGTTTATTAAAGCCCAGCTAATTAAGAGCTCAAATCGACATAAAATTTTTAGAACACACACACACTTTAAACAAAATTTAATCCTCAGATTAAAATTATATTAATTAGTAATAACGGGTTAATACTTACACAATATCCAAACTTTATATTTTACAGCTTGTATTATTGATTTAAAATCTTGATTAATGCGGCCATATAAATTAACAGGAGAACAAGAAATCAACAAGCTTACTGCGCACTTCATCAAGCAAGAAGAGGAGAATTTCGCACTCTTCAGCTACGTGAACGAGTTGAATGACGAGCTAGAGAGTCTTCAGACGAGGATGGAGCAGCTGACAATGGCTATCGATGAGGCACGTGCCCTGAATGTGCATCGCGATCAAGAGCAAGCTGAGAACTTGGAGAAAATCACCAAGGAACTGGAGGAACAAACAGCGCTAGCGGACACTACTGAAGAGGATCTTGCTAAGGTTAAAAGAGAAAATTGTTCGAAACTTGCTGGAAACTTCGTGCTGGGATTATTTTCTTGAAGCTTGAATTTAGAACATTATCGTTTGCTTAAATTCATAATATCAAAATATCCAATTAGAGTTATTTTTAATCATTTTTATAAATCGCCTGTTTCTACTCAATATGACGTTAATTTAACTAAAACACAATGAAGTTAAACGGTTTAACTCAAGAACATTATTTGACTCAAATTTAGTTTAGATATTACTTATTAATATAAGTGCATATGTTAAAATATGGATGTTGTATACCTACTAACCACAGAAATGAATTGCTTTATATTTTGACATACATGGAAATTAAAAATAACAAAACGTTAGTTGACTTAAGGGATTGGGTTATCATTACTCTTTTGATATCTGACGGTGTTGATTAATAACAAAATGCTATTCTTAAAATCGTTTAGCAAATTAACGCCGCGCTTTTCAAGGATTATCTTGTCATTCTTGAGCATTACCCTTGATCCTAATAAAACGGATTTTGATATCCGCATGGCGACTCGGTAAACCGCAACTCGAATGGATAATAAACGATTACTCATATTTCATTTCAGTGCAACGACGTGATGGACAAGCTGCTGCGAGGGATCGATGACCTCTTCAAGGCGATACGCTGCGACAATTCACCGATTTTAGAATTATTGGGCGACAATACTCACGTTACCATGAGCAACGTCATGCTCTACTTGGGCATTATCGAGAAACGAATCACCGAGATGTTCCACAAGGTTTATTGGGTGGACAAGGAAAGCAAAGTTCCGCATTTGCGGCTGGATGAGGAGAAGAAGCCCAAGCTGAAAGTGCCCATTCTCAATCGCATCGTACCCACCCAACCTTGTATCCTGTGAGTCTTATTTGTTACCCTCTCACATTCCTTTATCCCGCCCTTCAACGCGTGTCCTTCTGACCTATCGAGTATCCTCGAGATTTTCTAACATTTCGAACGTTTAGCCCTGAACGTGATAACCTAATTTCCGTTTGATACTTAAAATAGATCAGTTCTCTTTCTATCAAAACATGTATATGGGTTAGAAACAGACATTTACAGTACATACAATATTTAATCAGTAGATATCTAATCAGTGTGACAATTATGGAAAGATTTTACTAATCGATTATATAATCGGCGTTAAACACGCATCGAGGATATCCGGGCCGTGTCAACTTTCATCTGACTACTTTAACGTCCTCGTGCAGCTGCGTGGAACAAGAACAGATGCAGTTCGTTTCGGAGGGTTTAGAAGTGCCGCTGACACGTGCCGAAGCCATGCAGAAGCTGCAAGAACGGCTCATGGAGGATTACACAGAGCTGCTTCACAACGTGTCTGCTTGTCACTTACCGGCGGCTAGGAAGATTATTCAAAGACGTTATCAATAAACGGAATTAACGATATTTCTTCGTGGATTTGCGACGTGACCTTCCGCTAGCGTTCTAATGACATTCGCGTAAAGCTTACGAGGATTCAGAAGGAATCGTCAGATTACTGCAAACGCAATAACGACACAAAGAAAATAATAATTTTATGAATTGATTTTTTGAATTGTATTTATTTATTTTAATTAATTTTACTTTCAGATATATATATATATATATTTAAAAAAGCATTAGAAATTTTATGAAGGTGATACAACCTGAAATTTTTCGTTAAACGACAGTGTTTCATTCATTCGTTTTGTCGTCATTCATCGCTAGCTTTACTACATCGCAAAATCGCAATCAGTCGCGGTAATGGGATGATAGATACCTCTATTCGTGCGGCAAACCTTTCTCTTCCCGTGCCTTCTTCTTGACGGTCTTGATAATTTGCTTCAATTCAAGGATGGTGCGCTTGATGTGAATCAGCTGTTGCTCGACGTCCTCGCTGCTCACCTTGACGGGTATCTCTTTCCTCTTGCAAATCTGCTGATAGATGTTCCAGCAGCACGCCTTCACTTGCGTAAGCTCCAAGTTCTTCGCCGCGGCAGTTTCCTTTATTTTCGAAACGATCGTCTCCCATTTCAAAGCCTCCGCTTTCGCTCGATCGTACCTCTCTTGCAATTGCGCCAATTTATTATTCAGTCCCATCAATACTTGCGTCTTGGTTTCTGTCAAGTGATGCTGCACGTATAAAGAAAATTATCTCTATAACTCTCGGCTCTTCGATTCTTTTTTTTCTATTGAGAAGAAAGATGGCAGGAGAAAATATACCGTATGAAAACGGATATTTGAAAGCCAAGAGATATTAAACTCATAAAAGAAATTTATATGAAAAGAATTCGAGTGAAAATCGTACAAAGAAACGGCAAATGCAAACATATATAGGTAAGAATACGCGATAAAATAAAAAATAAAGAGATATTTCAATAAAAGATGTATGAAAAAGTGCTTTGAGTTGGCGAAAATTGATAGAGAGAGAGAGAGAGAGAGAGAGAGAGAGAGAGAGAGAGCACATTATTGCGATATAGTCGTATCAATTATATTTAGAGCCTACGCATAATGGAAGAAATATTACAGAAAAAAGAATTATTAAATATTAGAAAAATAAAAAATTAGAATAAAAATTAAATGTAACGCACAATAGATATGAATAATCTTATTTATATCTGTTGTCGTTACGTATAATCATTTTATTCCTAATTATTTTATTTCTCTAATATTTAATATTTATTCCTGTTCCTAATATGCCTCATATTTTATTTATATCTATAGTGTATTAAGTTTAATCTCTATTTCTGATCCTTTTATTTTTCTAAATTTAATATATTTATTTTGTTAATATTTCTTCCATTGTAAGCAAAACCTTAAGGCAAAGATAAGGCGATTAAATTAAATAATTCATATTAGGATAATGTATACTCGTATGTGCGAACTTGTATGATCATAATGAGGCATATAAGATAGACGATTATTCGAACAATACTATTTTTGCTCCTTTTTCTTCTAGCATTCGAAGGTTCTTGTCTTGACGATCAGACAACGCCTGCCTGGCCTCGACTAAAGTTTCGTAGCGATTAAAAATTTCGTTGATCGATTGAAACTCGTCCGTCTCGTTCACGACCCTGTCCAAGTAATTTTGGTACTTCCTGTATTCCCCTACGAACCGCTGCATTTTATCACGTACGTTTCTCATATACTGCACTTTCTGCTCCAATTCCTCGATCTAATAAAAAAATAGGTACGATCGATATATGAAATCCTTAATTCTTCTTGATTTTAATTGTAAATATAAGGCGCTCGACTGAAATTAAGATCGCGAGGTTCACTTTGGAGCTTTCTTTCCTTCGTCAATTGCGTACTTCTTGCTTGTATTTTTCCTGACGCTCGTGTTCCTCTTTGATCTTCTGCTCAGCTCGCTCGCACTTCTCGACGTTCTCCTTTACGAACGTATTAAACTTTATGAGAGACTGCCGCAACTGCAATTGCTGCTCTCTCGCCTCCTCCCATTGCTCATCCATGTAATTACGTCTTATTTTCTGTTCCTCTCGTTTCTCCTTTAATATTTCATTAATCTCAGCTAATTCTCGACGAGCCCTGATCACCTCGGTCGCCGGGCAAACCCTCGCTTTGTCCCATTCTGGATATTTTCTAATATTATTATAGATAACGACAAGAATGTAATTTATAAATATAATAAATAACGAAATATGATAAATTAAATTTATTTTAAAATTTATTAAAAATATAATTTTTTTGTTATTAATAAAATTAACGTGAGAATTGATAATTTTATTGTACTATCCGCTTCTTATCGATTGTTATGTGATACAGTGGATTGTCTATTTTTACGTTCCTTACATATCTTCGAACTATTTATTATGCCTTCTAATTACTGATAAACCCATGATCCTTTAATAAAGAATAATTAAAAATACCTTATTACAACATTTATAATTATTTTTTAATTGCGTTACTTGATAGACTGGCGTTCCTCTTGCTTGGATATAAAGTACTCCGAAACTGCTTTCTGCGAATCGGTCGGGATAACAGCTCTTTGCACGAGATTTCTCGACTCATCTTGCGCCGTAGCCATTTCTTTTTCTTTTCGAAACGTTCCTTTATTAACCGCAATTTTTCAACAAATGTGTCAATACGAGAGTGTCTATAGGCTTTTAAAAAAATGTCGTGAAAGGAAGCACATGTTTGCCGTGCACGACTGATCGATCAAACAAATTGAATGCAGTCGCGTAGGCGCAAGAAAGAGACAAGAAACACGTGGTATAGACGGCGTGGACGCGTAGTGGGAGAGAAAGTCGACGGCAGGAGAGGCATTGTTGAAAATAACGAACCGGATTTTATTTATATCGTACACTTTATACAAGAGTTAACAACTTTATTAAAAAAAAAAATGCATAGCTATTAGATATCGCACGGATGAAAAAGAGATGAACGGAAGGGAGATTGACGAGAATGATTAAAGCATATCCGTTCACGAGTGGACTTCCTGGCCGAGCAGAGAAAGTTGCTTGAGCAATTGCTTAGCGTTGTTGAAGGTCGTGGAGCCGTAGATCACTCGTTTGTTCACCCCAGCTCCGCTTCGTTGCTTCACATAGTCCACCAGATTCTGGTACTCTATGTAATTGCCGCCGCCAACCACGAAGACTATCACGTCCTGGAACGTCGGCCGATTCTTCGGCATCTGTTCGGTGTGCTTGAGCTGCTTCGGGTCCAGATAGAGGTAATCCTCGGTACGCGAGGACTGCTTAGATTCCATCAGCTCGTCCACTATCTTGGTGACTGGCAGATTGTGCTTCTTTACCACCAGATTCTTCACACCCTCCATGACGAATGACGAGCCTTGATTCATCAGCTTGGAGAACATACTGACCGTCTTGGTACCGCCGCCTTCGTAGCTACTCTGGATCTCGGCTATCCTAGTGTAATTGCGTAACCGCTTTACGTATACCAGTGGATTCAGATCGCAGCCGGCTGCGGTTAGTGCCGTCTCCAATTTATTGTAATCCGCGTCGGACATATTCGTGCAAATAAAATAAATAATAGCAAGACGTAGTTTGTCTTCAGGAGTGCCGCAGTCTGGATCGCCGATGGTTTCCAATACGCTCCGGTCCAACGTTTGCTTGCTCATAATTTTCTCCTCCAGCTCAAAGAACGTATCGAGTCGTCTAGACTTGATAGCGTTCAGGATACCTGTGGCCACTGAAGTGTGCATATCGATCAGCCGCTTCATATCCAGGAGTTGCGGCAACGAATTCACGGCGCTTGTCAAACGCGCCGTGTTATTGGATACCATAGACAACGCTACCTCGCTGTCATTGTCAATACCCATAGAGAATTTGAGCTTCTTCACGTCCTCCTCGAAAGTACGGTACTGCTCCAGCTCCTCCTGTATGGCCTCTGCCACTCTGGGGAACGGACTGCCTTTGTGCTGGCACCAGAAGTGATCCCGGTTGTCCAGCTCGTAAGCGCGTGTCTTGGAGCGTGTCCCGCCAGCGGGAGATCGACCTACGTTCTCTTCTACGACAAGCCTATTTAACGCCATCTCCAGAACATCATGCGCCAGTGCCTGGTACGTCCACGTGTGATGCAGCGGGGTAGCCATGTCGACGTTACGGTCCAGCACGATGAGCAGAGGCCTCTGGAAACTGTAGTGGCCGGTCGCAGATGCTTCACCCTCGAACAGGTTGTTCCTCGCATCCCATACGTTCTCTCGCAGTTTCTTGTCGATCATCTTGGCAACCATCTCGGCGGCATTACCCCTGGGACACCTTATGATCGGCACGGTGCCCAAAGTGACAAACACTGAAAACAAACAGTCTACAATAATATCCATCACGGACTCCATTTCGCTGTCTTTGACGTCACCGCGATTGATCGCATGATAGGATATCACATCGCTGTTCTGATGTCGCAGGACAAACAGATCGTCCTCCAGGGTGATGAAGTTCAGGTACTGATCGAACACCTTGTGAATGCTGGCGACGACGCCGCCGAGCAACGCCGCAGTCGCCAGATCTTCCATCCTTTGCCGGCTAATTGGCGAAATGAAATTCATATGATAGATATCATACAGGCCGTTCTGCAGATCCTGGCCGATCCTGCCAAGATTCTCGTCCGTGGGCGCGCAGAAGTAGATCGCCGGTACCTCGGGGATGGAGTCACGGTCCGAATGCAGCTGCATGTGTAACGTGATGCCAAGCTCGCGCAGCTCCTTGACGGAGATCAACGGCGATATGATGTCCTGGCCAAGGCGGTCGTAAACGAGGATCTTCCACGTCGGCACCGCGCTTTCGAGCCCTGGCTCGGGCAGATTCAGATTCAGCATCTGCTTCAGGGCGTTTATTTGACGGTCGCGTAGACTCATCTTGACGGGCCTGTCGAGGAACCTAACCTCGCACGCGATATCCCGGGTACTCGTACTCGATCGGGAACCGGAGACCAGTCAAGTTACGTGGCTCGTAAACGCCACTGCGATCCCTGGGAGACGTCGAACGCGCACCCGGTGTCGCATATAGAGCAGAATTCTTAGAAATCTGTCAAACTAGTTCGGTCTTGTACTCCCTTCGAGCTGTCAAACTATCCGTATGATTGCGTATGGAGAGATGGACACGTCACATTGACGTTTTTCATGGTCGATACAAATGTATTTACACGAGTTATCTAAAAAGCACAGTGACCTCATTTACCTACAGCAAACATAACGTAACACTTACCTATCGCAGTTATCTAAATTATCTATCACTGCTGTATCACGACTAGGATAGCGGTCATGTAACTTTTTCCCTAGTGCGAAAACGTAAAAAGTGAATTTTTACTTTTCACGTTTCCGTTCTAAAGAAAAAGTTACATGATCGCTACTCAGCAATATTAAAGAGAATATTTACATCTGTACTCCCCAAAAATGGACTTTGGTGGCTCGGGATAAGAGACTTGTAGTGTCTTTCTTTTCATTTTCATTAATCCTAAAGTAGTTACGATAATTGAACATGGCCGGAGACACTACCTCGTCTTCTGATCAGAGGTTTATTCGCGTCGCATGCTCCAACACGTTTGATAGAGTGAGTAGGAGCTATGGTAGGAGCACGTTGGAGCATGTTGGAACTTGCGACGCGAACAAACCTCAGGATTAACGTGTATCACATATTCAGGAGCGTTGTTTAACTCTTGAACACCCCACACTGAGTTACGGTAACCCAGTCCGTTTGAAAAAACAATTTTCGAAAAAAACGATTTTTTTTTAATTTTGAAATTTCTTTTTTTTTTTTTTTCAAAATATCTTGGTTACCGAAAGTTTTATGATATTCTTATCTATATATCCTTTTTCCTTACTGTCTGTTGTATCGATTAAAAAAAAAAGTTAAAATTGATGCGTTAGATCCCGGGATAAAAGCAAAAGAAGATTCCAAGGTTACCGTAACCCATGTGTGATGAAATCAGGTGGCGAAAATAGTGTGGTGTTCTCTCTCTCAAGGGTTAATTAAGATCAGACTTCTGCATTTATTTTTGTAAATATACATATATGATGTTTTCGGAAGTTTATCCTTATAATGGCTGCGTTCAGCAGAAAAAACAGCTTTGCAACTGTTGTAAAATTCTTTAATATGATTGGTCTTGCCCTTAGTTCCTCCTTGGATCTAAATATATAAACCAATCGTATTCAAGGATTTTACAACGGTTGCAAAGCTTTTTCTGCTGAACGCAACCAATGATTTATTGCGTTCTGCTTAGGCAGGATCAACGACGTGGACGTAGCAGGTATTTGATTCTGTGTGTGTGTTTAGTCTTTCGCATCACTAATCACACATACACGTACGCACGCACACATGGAATCAGATACCTGCAGATACGTACACGTCATTGATCCTGATGGGTAACGCTGAAAGCAGCACAATACATTACTTACACGCATTTACACAAAATTAAAAGGAATTAAAATTTGAAATTGACACTTTAATTTCCTTTCTAATAAAATTTCCTGCAATAATTTGTTTCTGAATTATACTGAGTTTACAAGAAAAAGTTGTCCGTTTTATAACACTTTTTTTTTAAACTGCTCTAATCTTTTTTAAAACGTTATAATAAAAACGTTTATCAATAAAAAAAATCGTAGAAAAATGTTCCAAATATGGATTTGTTTGGAATTAATCAAGGATCTTAAATATACACTTTTGTGCCTAATTCATAAAACATTTTATTTAAAATTATATCAGCAAAAAGAAATAATATAATATTGAGCATAACGTTTTAGGCCGGAATCAGATTACTCGTTGAAGATTGAGATTGAAGATTGAAAGATTGAAATTTGATCAATCAAAACAATAGAAGCTAAATTTCTTTATTCTCATTGGTCAAATTTCAATCTTCAATCCGCAGTGTCAATTATTTTCAATGCGTAGTCTAATTCCAGTCTTATAATAAAATATCTAAAATTTACACTTTCTATTTCTGGTAAATTTATTTTCCACACTGTTTCTTTAACAATTATCTATGTTTATATATGTATCAACGCAAACTCCAAGAGTTTCTTTTCACTGATACGATCTCTTAACCAAACTTTTAAATGCCAAAGAGCTGGAAAACTTCGTTTAGCAAAAACAACACTTATCGGTAGACATAATAATATTTTAAGTAGTCTTGCAATTAGTTTCGCATAACGCTGCAATAACGCGGTATCTATAATACAATAGAGCATGAATAAGTTTTAAACCGCAAAAACCTAGAAGTTTCTTGAATTGAAAAGTATTTGTGAAATATCAAAATTGTGATTAAGCATTTTAGAAACATTTAAAATATATGTAACATTTCATTATAAAATATTTTTAAAAAAGGAGACTCCAAGAGGGCGACCATAGCCTCCATGCCCCCTCTCCCCCTCCCCATGGATCCGCCACTTTAAGTCAACGCTCAGAATTATAAATTCTGAGCATTGATCTAACAACATTAAACATAAATATCCGGTTTATAAAAAGAAAATATTTAAAATTCTTTTTAAGTATCTTCGTGAGTAAGTACTTTAAAATAAAAATAATTTAATTCTCTCAAGTTCCGATAATTTTTCTGAAAACCATTGAAATATGAAATGTT